GTATTCGTCTCAACGTTTTCTTTTTAATACAATTTTGTTACAAATCAAATGACCATTTATCTGCCCATGCAAAGATTGCATTTACGAACTGGCTTATTCAATATAATTCATGCAACGGGAAACAGTGAACAAATAGACCCTATACAGATAATGATGACTGCTCCCGGAGTGGTTACATCAATGTTCTTTATATAATTATCTCTTTGTGTAAAAAGTGCCAAAGGGCTATATTCGGACTATTCCGACACCTTGCACAAGGTCATTGCATCCTGCGTCAAGGGTTGCCTCTGTGGCTAGAAATTGCGCCTGGACCTATTATATATGCATTTTGTATGCCTGCAGATATCCTTGAGTGCATGGCGCAATCAAAATAACGCCTCGTACACACTAGTCAGACAAAATGTCCCAGTGAAAGAAGGGTGCATGATGCCTCTGTTCACCCCTCCCCATTAATCCAATCCCAAGACATGCCTCTCATTATGCTCATCGATTTTCAAAAGTTCGCAAGTCCAACACACGAGATGCTGATTCATTTGCAATGTTAACTTGTCAAACAAAGATACTTATTTTTGTAAATGCATATCTGTTATTATATTCATAAAGTTAAAGAATTCATATCCGGAACATCCTGAGAACATGAACAGATGCTTGAAAGACGTCCTTGTCCAACGAGTGATGCATAGACATGAATACGTGTCAGTGAAACACCATTTTGTGAATCGGTGTAGGTGCTGATGTTGATGTGATATGTTACAGTCTCTGCTTCTGAGGCTGCGAATGAGTGTGTTCACCTTCAAAACCAATAATGCAAGACTGTTCGGTGTTTATGTTACACCCAATTGTGATGCATAGACATTTACGTGTCAGTGAAACACCATCTTGTGAATCAGTGTAGGTGCTGATGTGGATGTGATGTGTTACATTCTCTGCTTCTGAGGCTGTGAAAGAGTGTGTTCACCTTCTAAACCGATAATGCTAGACAGTTCGGTGTTTCTGTTACACCCAACTGTGATGCATAGACATGTACGTGTCAGTGAAACACCATTTTGTGAATTGGTGTACTAGGTGCTGATGTGGATGTGATGTGTTACAGTCTCTGCTTCTGAGGCTGCATGTGAAAGAGTGTGTTCACCTTCTAAACCGATAATGCTAGACTGTTCGGTGTTTCTGTTACACCCAACTGTGATGCATAGACATGTACGTGTCAGTGAAACACCATCTTGTGAATCAGTGTAGGTGCTGATGTGGATGTGATGTGTTACAGTCTCTGCTTCTGAGGCTGCGAAAGAGTGTGTTCACCTTCTAAACTAATAATGCTAGACTGTTCGGTGTTGCTGTTACACCCAACTGTGATGCATAGTCATTTACGTGTCATTGAAACACCATCTTGTGAATCAGTGTAGGTGCTGATGTGGATGTGATGTGTTACAGTCTCTGCTTCTGAGGCTGTGAAAGAGTGTGTTCACCTTCTAAACCAATAATGCTAGACTGTTCGGTGTTTCTGTTACACCCAACTGTGATGCATAGTCATGTACGTGTCAGTGAAACACCATCTTGTGAATCGGTGTAGGTGCTGAGGTGGATGTGATGTGTTCAACAGTCTCTGCATCCGAGGCTGCATGTGAAAGAGTGTGTTCACCTTCTAAACCAATAATGCTAGACTGTTCGATGTTTCTGTTACACCCAACTGTAACTGTTATGAAGGAGGCAACGAACTTTTGGTATTGCTTCTCTCAATGTTTGTTCATGGGCCATGGTTTGAGATGAAACTAAAGGTGGTTGTAAAATTGAGACTCCATATTCTAAAAATTGGACAATCTCATACATAGAAAACTCTGAATTCGATACTAGAACGGGCTTATTATACAAAGATAATGATGTGCTGGGTTCTGATTTTATAAACAGATTCTCCTCTAGAGAATGTCGTAGAGATGTCGCGGTCGAGTGGATTCGTCGCCGACCTGTCGATCACAAGGTTCGTGGTGCGAGTCCCGTCCTTTGGCAAGACATTGATCTACATTTGCCACACTCAACACAGGTGATGTAAATGGGAACCTGGCAGGAATTAATTCCTTGAAATGCTAGAGCGCCGTAATGGCAACCGTGCAAAAGCCAGGGTATCTCCGTCTGCGCCTCAGAAGAGTTTATTAGATCGATGGCACATAGTATTATATCCTATATTATGATATTATGATTATTGTGTAATTTATAATTATGTATCATGTTATGGCGACCCCACAAAAAGCCGAGCAGTTAGCGCAAATTGAACAAAAACGCATGCCATTGATTAGATCACGGTTAGTACCAGGAGCATCTAGAATGGATGTACATTTCACGGGTCTTATGATTGACTCAGGGGCGGCGAACTTTTGGAAATTTACATGCCAAAACTCGGTACTGGGACGCGCTGACACCAATAAACAAGAACAGATGTCCATTTCTCAAAATTCCCCAGATATGAATTTTTTAACTCACCGAATTTGATAACCGAGATAAACGCGATATGCAATGACAAAAATATATTTCTTTGTTTGTATATATTGACGAGCCATCCATCTTGTTTGACACCCCACAAACAAACGGAAAAGATACGGAAAATTATTATATTGGCAATTAAAGAGTTGCACATTAATAAACAAAAATGTACTTTAAACTCTATCATTCCCCTCAAGTTGGATGAAAATGAATATTATAAAATGGATCATGCAAATTTGAAAGAAAATTACTCAAAAAGCATTATATTGATTGCAATACGATTAATTTGAAGAGCATCAGAAATTGACAGCGATTTTTTTTTCGAGGGACGGGGGGGTCGCAAACTGAGTTTAGTGGGGAAGATTCATATCGTTGAAATTATCGTATCTTGTTGTAGAGGGAGAGGGAGAGGGAGAGAGACTAGAGAGAGAGAGAGAGAGAGAGAGAGATGGGGAGATAGAGTGAGAGAGTCTGTACAATGCATTTTACTGAATAGTATATCTTATTACTATTAGGCCCATCAGATACAGAAATGAAATTAAGAAATGAAATTCTGACGATATAAACAGATTTAGGCCTTTTGTGTTCCCCTCAACATTTAAATTCCATATCTTTGTGAGTATGCTGTACATTCTCGTGATTTTCTTTACATTTTACTTCACCATTCACCGCGGGAAAAGCTATAGCGTTTTTCCAAGGATAACAAAATAATTTTTCATCATGCATTTGATTGAATTGAATATGTAATTTCCATCATAGCAAATGAGATGAATACCTTGACCGTACAAATCGTTTTATAAGCTCACTGCATTGAGCTGTATGATACTGTATGGGTGCAAAAATCAACCATGGCGATGTACAATCGACACATAGAGATAATATAGATGAGGGCGCAAACACACTCAAGATTCAAATTTCCAAATTAATTCCTATACATGTCACACCGCTAAACCGACTCAAGACCGACTGTTTTGGGGGGCATTGGAGGTGTCAAGTAATTTTTTTAAATGTCTGTAGAGTCGATCTGGTTTCGGTTTCGTTGGTGTAACTTGGGTAGGCCTACAAGCGGTGTAGGCCTGTGTAGCACCAATTTTTTAAAACGAAATACTAACTCTTTTGTGCTAATTAAATATTGTTTCAAACTTCAGAAATTTGACTAAAATTACAGGCGAAAACTTTGGGGCGACGACACCAATAAACAAGAACAGATTTCCATTTCCCAAGATGCTCCAGATACGAGTTCTTTAGCTTAGCGAATTTCAAAAACCGACTTAAACATGACAAAAGTTTATTTCTTTGTTTGTATACCTTCAGGAATTATCCATCTAGGCTTATTTCACACTGCACACACAAACGAAACAGATACGAAAAATTATAATATTGCAATAGAGTTGCGCATGAATATCAAAACGTGTTCTTCAAAGTCCATTTTCTGTTGTTTTCCTTTGGAATGAGATAATTATTGTAAATAGATCATGCAAATTTGAAGGAAAGTTGAACAAAAATGCATTACATTGACTGTAACAGGGGAGAGAGGAAGAAAAAGAGGGAGAGGGAGGGAGAGAAAGAGAGAGAGAGAGAGAGAGAGAGAGAGAGAGGAAAAGGGGGGGGGTCGATGGAGGGATCGAGGGAGAGAGAGAGAGAAAGAGAGTGAGAGTCTAGCCGTGCGTATCACAGATGTTAATGGTTTCTGATACTGATGTAATTTATATCAAAACTGCATCATTACAGATTGAAATGATGGTTAGCCTTACATTACATGAAGTCTCAGGGCCTATAAACAGGCCTACCTCCGATTTCTCATGGAAATGCGAAATAAGGGGATGGAAGTAGGATGTTTTTAATTTGTAATTTATTGTTTGTGATTAATTGTTCCCGGGGGATTTGTTTTGTTTTATTTTGTTTTTTGTTTTTCAACTTTTGTTTCTGCATGTGTTCTGATAATTATTGTTGTGGGCCCGGCTGAGCATGGGGCGCTGTGTGGCCGATCTTTGGGGCTTATCTTTCTCTTTGCCCTGTTTTGTTTTATTTTGTTTATGTTTTTCAACTTTTGTTTCTGCATGTCTTGTGTACGTGTTCTGATAATTGTGGGTACGGTTGTGGGGCGCTGTGTGCATGGCTGATCTTTGGGGGCTTATCTTTCTCTTTGCCTTTTGCAAAAGCTCCCTGATATTAAACTGTAACAATGTGTCAAACGGGGTGTCAAAATGTAGCTCTTATTATGAGCTCCATGATATCACGGGCCATGCATGGTAGCTCTCTCTAACTTTGTTGTTGTTGTTGTTGTTTGGTATGTTAAATTTGTCCAGGCGTTTGACTATTAGGTATGTTATCCCTAAAAATCATGAATTACGTGTTTTCTGTAAAAAAAAAAAATGTCTCGTAGCTTTGATGAATGAAGAAAAGCCATCGAGTAGAAATCATTAAAAATGCATGTGCTCTATAGATACAGCGTTTATGGAGCGATTATAGTTTAGCAAAACTACCAATACAACCCACTCCTTGAACTCAGGCTACGTCCGATCGACCCCCAAAATAAAAAATAGAAAAAGTAGGCCTAAAGCAAAGTACAACAAAAATACGAGAAAAATGGCAGCAATCAAGGAACCTGCAGTGCCCAACGGGCCTAAAGAGATGAGGAAATCATTTCAATATCCAGGCGATATACCCCTTGAGTTATATGACTGGGTTCCAGCTCAGCAAGAAGGATTCAGAGAAAAATTGATCAAGAAACTGAAGCAGAATCCATTCGTCCCAATCGGTAAGTTACGCAACCTGTCCATACTCGCTCATTACGCACTGGTATAAATGCACGTCCATCGTATGTGTGAGTGTGAGTATTGTATGCACTCACCCGCTAGTTACGGCTGCAAGCTGCAGGCGGTTTACATTCGCGTTCCATTTGCTCATGTGCGGTTATTTTTACCCAAGAGGAATGGTGGAAGGGCCTAAAACAGCGGGTTGGGTCACAATTTTTTCGCAATTTAAAGAGGTTGACTTACAATGTTTTTCGACTCCTCTGGGCATCTTTCCAACCACTTAAAATTATACTTCAAAAATGTCTTTAATGGGGAAAAAGGGTGATTCTTCGTCCTAACCCGACGATTCATTCATGTTGTATCGTTGAATATTCGTGATATAGAACGCTGTTCACTCGAAATTGCTGAATATGCAAGAGGTTGAGGAGAGCTTTGTCTCTTCGTTCACAATGTTGGTTCATCGGAAATGCAAATCAATGCAGCCTGCAGGTACAGTTTGATACTTTTACAACAGTAGTGGTTAGTGTAAAAAGGCGCATGCGGCTTACAGGGAGTGTTGCTTAATTTAGCCTAACAGGGAATTACTCAATGCTTGCGCATGCCTGCTTAAAAGCTAAGCTAATCGCTATTATTGATCGACAATATAAAAGAAATAACACATGGAAAATGTCAATGTTGTAAATTTTTGGAATAGAGCTCCAAAATAGTTTGAAAGTGTACAAATCGTGGCCCATGATCATTAAAAAAAACAATCATCCTTTGAATGTTAATCCTAATCCCTATTCCCTGAACAATCCCAATCTTGATCCGATCTATATCCTGCATTCAATATAAATAAACCAACTATATTGTACTAACCTTGCCTCTATCCTATCTTATCCTGGGATAATGATATGCTGTGTGTCAGGGTGAGATGCCATGGTTTATAGGGCTTACTTTGAATCATTGGCTCATTGCGTCCGGTCAGGTGGTCATGTCACATAACATTTTTTGAAAACATACCCCTATATTCACAAAACGTCTTGGCTAATGTTTGTGAAATAAACCTCTCTCATCTACAAATGGTCTGGTCCAATTAACCTGACAATTTGTGAAAATATCTATGAAAGGTCGCCTTATCTTCTTCTTTAGTTTCATGACAATGTGTGTTATGCGGCCTCCCGACTAGACGTGATGACCTGATGGTTCGAAGTAAGCCGTTTATAGCGCATTTGTAGTCTTGTAGATTAGCTTTTGACTCTTTATTTTTACTCTTATGTCCAGGTTGCCTGGCTACTGCGGGAGCCTTGACGTATGGACTGGTCATGTTCAAGCGAGGCAACACAGCCAAGTCCCAGACCATGATGAGAGCTAGGGTGGCGGCCCAAGGATTCACCATTGCTGCCATACTGGTAGGCGTTTTCATGGGAGCTGGAAGGACAACGCCCACTGAGGGACCAAAGTAAAGGACTCACTCAAAATTTTGCCATAACTGTGGAGATTGAAAGTTGGACAGCGTGAAGTAATTGTGCTTCCTTATAGACTGATTGACTTTTAAGAACATGTCGACCATCGGTCCTAATTAGGGGCTAAATAAGGGCTCCTATACGGTAGTATAAAGGTGATACAGTAATTGCCATCATCCACAGACCTTTTGCCATCATGTGTGTCGACATTTTCCTTGTTTTTATTCAGTAATCTAATACAAATGAGAATGAAGAAGAAGGTATAACTTCAGTGTTGCACTTATTTTCTTGACTATCACACTTCAATGCACCTTTTACCAAAGCGGATAATCTACATCTAAAGCTACATGTATAATAGAATTGGAGACTTTTAACAACAGCCAAAGGCAAACTCCAAATGTGTTTGGTCATCTTAATGTTAATACCGGTTAAGGTATCCTTTTGCCAGAGTTGGACTTCAATTGAGTGCAGCAAAGGAACTCTATGGATGGATGGTGAATAAGTGAGACAATATTACAACACTTTGTGATTTCAGGGCCCTGTCTTACAGAGTTGCAATTGATCCAATGTATTGCAACTTAACATGATAAGTATTTGGCATCACCTGTGCAGGGGAGAGGAAAAGCATACTGTTATCTTGTTTCTGATGGGAATACAAGCAGAAAAAGTACTTTACATTGAGTGATAATCATGCATTCATAAATTAAAAATATGTTGAACTGACATGATTTGGCAAATTAGATAGCTTTTCTTTTTCCTCAGTGCTTTCTTCCTACATGGGAGTCATTGTATAAAGGATGACAACAATTACAATTATATGTAAGGGACTTGCCTTGAACAGACAGTTAAATAGGTAACTTTACATTTATGAAGTGTCAAACTAATGTTTTGTACAAGAGCATTTCAGATTTTGATTGTACAGTACAAGAGAGATCTATCTACTATAATCTGTATTTTCTTGCTGTGAAACTTACATAAAGGTCTAGCAGATCTACATGTACATTCAACTCTGTTGTTCCAGCTGTGTCATTGAACATTTTAACGATAATGACATCTTTGACCTGGACTGATGGTGGTCACATCTTAAACTCCAATTTAAACCTGGCTTAAACCCTGCACTGTTGTGAGAATGGAGGCACAATTTTTATATTGAGGTTTACAGCAAAGTTTTTCCACCCATGTATTCACTTTAGAAAATCTGTCCGGTCTTTACAGTAGGGCGCTTTAGTAACGAGACGGTACGCACAGGAGACGGAGCGTTTAACCAACTGTGACGGGTCTCGCACTCTTGTTACCGTTGTGATGTTTAAGCGCTTTCGCTGTCTGCTAAAGGCGACGGGGACGCAAAGCCGCGCTGAACTGCACACCTGCTGCATTTTGGTGCTAGTGCTCTTGGGCCTCGAGGCTTGTCCGGAGCGCCGGGGCAATAGACCCGGCGGTGGGCTGTAGTGCGCAGCGTGCAGGCACGTCATGCATAACGATGAAAAAGGGCCCCCAAAGTAGGCCTAAACGGCCAAACCATCAATTTATTGTAGATTGAGGTATAGATACCGAACAGACATTGGAAACACTAGTAGATTCCCTGTTTTTATCTTCAGTAGGGCCCTGCATTGTTAGATCTAGATACAAATTATTTGTCAGCTCTCTCTCTTACGTCGTGTTTAGGGAACGAACGCTATGTTGGCCGATAACCGTTCCGAAAATCGACGGGACGGAGAGAATTCAGAATCGCGCATGCGCAGTTTGTTTTTTTCGCTCGCATTACCGTCTCCTGTGCGTACCGTCTCGTTACTAAAGCGCCCTAATATGCATGCGAACGGGTCACTTGTGTGTTATATAGCAGTATTTTTAAATATTAATACATGTCCTGAGACTACATAAACAAGTACCTTAATAACAGCGAAAGCTTAATCACGTATCACGGCAGATTTAGTGAACTATACACTTGATCACTTACATTTGTAGAGAATAAGGAAAGAGGTTCATGTCTATTTGTATGTTGCACAAATTTTTAGTTAAATGTTATTTTTTAAACATTATTTTTTATTTTAATATGGTGACAAATTGTTTTCATGCTACTTTCATCTAAAATTTCGTCTTTATTTCATCTTCGGTGGTTTTGTGTAGATTTACCTATCCAGGATGTACATGTAGCTACAGTGTAGTCAGGGGAGGCATGCACCAGAAGTAATCATTTGGGATCAGAAGTATGTCTGTCCCAATTAGAGAGATCATTCGAAGAAAGGTGAATATTGCTTGGCAAAGTGCAGTCCATTGTTAAAAAGCTGCAGTTTCATTTGCCAAGTACAGTTTTTTAGCTACCTAAAATGATCAAGACGTTTATTCTTTGCCTATGACTGTATTGGATCAATAGATATAGAGAGCAATAGACCATTTTTATAATGTAATCAAATTGAATGCAAAAATCAATGTATGTTAAAAGCCTTGTTACAAATTATTTTATTCACCTGTTACAAATAATTGCATTTTTAATAGTCAGAATGTGGATAGAATACATTACGTGTTGTTAAGTAGGACTAGCCATTATGTTTGTCCAACCTAGCAACTATTAATGTATGCAATTTGCATTTTGACTACTGAAATGCAATTATTTGTAACAGGTGAATGAAATGATTTGTAACGAGGCACTTTACAAAGATTTGTGCATTAAATTTGATAATACATGTATTACGAAAATAGTCTATTGGTTAACTTAATTCTCCCATCATTTTAATACGAGTGGATAGCAGTGAACATACATGTACCATTCACATGGAAATACAATTGTGTCTAAAATGATGTGCTACGTGTGTATTTTTAATGTAAATAATGTATGATTGTAAATGAACATTATCATCGGATTTATTAAATGTCACCTCCGTGTCGAGTACGACAACCTTTACTTCTCTGAATTTCTAACATGATATAGTCGTTTGTTTGTTTGGAATGAATTGTGATTGACTTTGGATGATATTGAGCTTTGGGGAAGGTGTGATTATGGTCTCAACTTACTAATAAGTGCTATACATATTGTCTTTTCAACTGTTGAAGTGTACCAATCACCTAAAAAGTATGATTTGTGTCAATTAAAGCCCCACTGCGCTACTTATAGCTACTTGCGCCTCTATATAGCAAACAATACCTAATCGGTTACCATTTGTCTCCCATGATCCTCTTTTTCTTTTAATTGAGAGCTTATTCGATGAGATAACCACCTGCCAGTGACCATGCAGAGAGGTCTAATCCCTCCTGGCCAAACTAGTGCGGTGGGGCTTAAAATGTATAAAACCGACCTAAAAAATCTTTACCGGTACTCAGCAATATAATGGGCTAATGTATAAGGAGTATGAAGAAATTGAAAGATATCATAAAAATGAAACCCAAGGCGGACTTTGGTTCTGTGCAAGTCATATCCTATGCAAGTGCATATATGGGTGCATAGACTACTCTCTTTGCAGGTTGCTCTTTTGTAACTTGAGAGGGTACTTAAATTTGCAATAACTCTTTCTGGAATTAATATTTTGAGTTTAGTACAGCAATATGGATATGGAACCCTTTACATCCATGTACAGAGCAAAAGGTTGTCGGGTGATCATACACTTAAAAGTAGTTTAAGTACATTGTATATGGATCAATGCCCTTCTGGCTCCAGACAGATGATATAGTGTAGCATACTGATGAGGTAATGTGTGCTGTAAAGGTATAATTAAAATTGACTACCGGTTCCTTGTTGAAACAAAAAGATACCCCAAAATATATGAAGATAACCCTGTTGGTGTCGTGTGTTTGCACAATTCAACATTATGTTGCGAAGCACGGTTGTTGTTTTTTGTTGATGAATATTATTTTGAATCTGTTTGGAGCCAAGAAGGCATTGATTCTGTGTGAAATCACATGATTTAATGCCATTTGGCTCCAAACAGACGATGTATTCTCGTGTCCTACAGTAAACAACTGATCAGGTTATGAACCCTCCCTTTCCCCCCCACCCACAACAATGCTACTTATTTACGGTGCATATCTAGGTCTAAATTTTGCCTCTCGGTGGTGCATTTTTGCTTAACTGCCTTACATGTATGTGGCAATAAGGCTTTTGAGGAAATTCTGAATTTAAACTTGTGTGTGTGTGTGTCATTTCTTAAAACCGTTAAACGGCAAGATCTGAAAATAATTTTGTCCAAACACCCCACAGTGCTTTCAAAGAGACGTGTGTATAGTCAAACTAACTTCTCTGTCAGAGTGCCATGTAAATATCTACATGTACATGGTTGGGTTCACCATAATGAACAACTTTTTCAGAATGCTATTTTTAACAAAGGTTTTCTACTTTTACACTAAAGTTAATAATTTAAAAGACGCAGAGTATGGTGTACAAAAACTAGCACTAGGATAAATGAAAAGGATTCATTGTAGGCTGATTGAAAGTTTAGTAACCTTTAGTACATGTACAAAACATCAAATAGACATCTGATATACATATGTAGTTTCTACTTCTTTTTACACTCACTGAACATTCTATTTACAAGATTCACAATACTTGGATACAACTCTATTTATCAAGATATCTGTTTGCCTACTAAATGGGAATATTATTAGACCTTCAAATGAAGATCTTGTAAAACAATAAACAAGACCTATACATGTACTCAAGATCAAACAGAACTATTTTCCGTTCTATCAAGAAAAATGCATCGTCTTCTGTGGAGAACCAGAAAGGCCTTAAAGAGAAGGTTGAGTTCTGGGAAGAGGTGAAAAATAATTTGTGAGCGTTACTCATTCTTATTATGCAAGTGTGGAAGAACATCAGATAAGATATGTTCCCTGAAAAGCATGGCTCTTCAAATGCCTTCATATTCTAAATATGCATGTAACATCGTAAAAATCGGGGGGCCGGCTTTTTACGCCACGTGTTCGTGTAGTCCCATATACATCTTTCTGTGTACAGTGTTTGTAACTTTACCAAGACTTGGCCAAATTTCTTATCATTTTGATGATTCCAAAACCTTGCAATACACACAAATTCTTATATGCTAGATGATCAACCTTTTCTGATCGATTCCACACCGTTTCTTTCACAATGCAATCGCATGACCAGAACTCAACTTCATCTTTAACTCAATATCCCTTTGCATTAAGTTAATGCCTTTCTGGCTCTCAATAGAAGATACGTGTAATTACTAATTAATGTGGTTTTCTTCTAATCTTACACTTGCACCTTGCCATTTAAATCAATACGGACTGATTTTAACTCACAGTCAAACTAAGTCAGAGTACTGTTCAGGTTGAGAGAGACGTGAAGAAAAGTACTCTTGACATAAATAACTGCAGGAAAGTACCTAAATCAATACTAGAAACCTATTCAAATAATAATTCCCTGTCACATATCTAAATCTGTCACAGAAAAAACTCACAAATGTGCACAATATATAGATTAAGATCTGGTTGTAAATGATATGAACAACAACTTCTCCTGAACATACTTTTACACATAACTTACATGTATGAACATCTCCAACTCATTTTAAATAATCTATTAAGGTTACTGATCAACTATTGATCTGTGCATCAGGTTAAATCTGGCAAGTGACAATGGTGGGATTTCATAGATTCCTGTTGGTACTCTGGATATATCTTAAAGTCTACCAGTCACCAACAAAACACAATTTGTTTTGCATGTTTGGCTTTCCTTGTTGCTACTATATACTAAATAAAATGAGCTTCAAATATTACTTCTGTAAAGAGATATTACAACTTTAAATAATAAATATCCTCTTGGTTTAAACATAAAAGCGACTTGTTAGAGGAATACATCTGAATGAGCTCACATAGAATAGGGCCTGACTTGGGTTCTGTGTGTACGGTTTTATGCTATTCTTAATTTTCGTCATAATTCTTATCTGTTGGTCAATAGAAAGTGAGGTAAAGTTTTTAAAGGTTGACTTTACACATTCTAGCTAGCTGTACAAAAAGTGTTTTTAGATGATTCAAAATGATTTAAATTCACTGACAGGTGAAATTTACAAGGGAGGAACTTCCAAATCAATTAAACATAATAGAGAGAAAACCAGGAATGTTGTAATGTACAGCACTAAAAACAATGAACTTAGGGAATAAAGGCAATTTAATTCACAGAAATTAGAAGTGAGTG